TTTGACATCGAGATGCCCCAGTAATTGCCAGATGGGGAATTTTGCCCGCTTCCTTTCAGTCCTATTTTCCAGCCCAGAAGCAGCCTCTAAAACAACAGTCCAATCAAGCCAGAAACTAAAAGACGCTATTACAGAATATGGCACTCAGTCTGGGGCTCAGTTTTTGAAAACCCTCCCAGAGATGACACCAAAGATAGCCAAGGCAGTGCCGATAGCACTGTCTTTGGGGCGTGTGGGTGGATGCTGCTAATGCTCTTCCAAGTAGGGACAATTTGACCTAACCGTCAAGCCCAGATATTGCTGGTCTGAGCATTTAGCTATTCTGCTTCGACAAACACACAAGCAGCTTCTGCACATGTCCAAAAGAATGACAACATTATAGAAGTTGAAAGGAGCTTGGACGTCATCTTTGCTCAAGGCAGGGAGAAACAGCAGCCTAATAAAACCTACCGACAACACCTAAAAGACACGATGAGAAAAGCATATCCTAAATGCTGCTCCACACATGACAACAAGCCCGTATTAGCCAGCGTGTGTATATTCAGGAACAGGAAGTGTCAAGCAGTCTTGGTTTCCTGATTGGCCGTCCCTGTATGATGCAAGCACAGGTGATGCCCTTCAGTGTAGACCTGTTGAGATCTATAGAAAGCTGTTCCCATGTGGTGACCCACTGGTGGAACCCTAGGGCCCTAGAATGATCCATGGCTTGACCTTGCCTGTTGGCTTGCTCTGTGGTTCCAAGGTCCTCTTTGGTCCTGGCCATTGGACCAAAGGCTGATGCCTGCAGCCCCAGCCTGGCAGTGCTCCAGATAAGCTCATGGGGGAGGGCAGGTGTCACAGAGAGAGGGATGAGAATTCTGGGGCCCTCCTGATGTTCAGGCCTACAACTCCCATCACTCCTTGCCAGCACAGGTGAGGATGAGGGCTGCAAATGTCCCGTCCCTACATTACAGCAGGGGCAGGCAGAAAGAAGCTCTCCAGATGTTCCGGCCCTCAACTCCAAGCATTCCTCTCCACGCACCATGCCGGCAGGGGATGTCTAGGAAGGGAGGCCACCAGCTTCCAGTGGTGGATCTTCTCCCAGCCCCTACACCGAAGCATGTGAATCTTCTCATCCTCAGTTGCCCAACTGGGCTGGCTGGCTGCATGGAGCTCAGAGGGAGGTTGGAGCTGGGAGTTGCTGCAGAGACTTCTCCAATCTACTTCTGGAAGGAAGGAAGGAAGGAAGGAAGGAAGGAAGGAAGGAAGGAAGGAAGGAAGGAAGGAAGGAAGTCAGTTCCCTCTTGAGAGCTCATCATGTTGGAACAAATCTGATGGACTCAGGGATAAATGGGAAAATATAAAATTTGGGGGAAATGGGAAAATATAAAATTTTACCCAAATTTTACTAAAATCCTGGGGAAAGAGGAGTTTCTCCCTCTCCCAAATTTTACTAAAATCCTGGGGAAAGAGGAGTTTCTCCCTCTCCCAAATTTTACTAAAATCCTGGGGAAAGAGGAGTTTCTCCTTCCCCCTCGATGTGTCTTTCCCCACATCGTCACATCAAATCTCTAGATAGACTTCAGATAAATTTTGGAACGTCCCTTCTGGCTACCAGCTACAAGGCATGTTGGGCAAAGAACCCCAAGGAGACGATGCTTCCAAGCCATCCAGGTCCCAATTTATTTCGGGCTTTTAAACTTTCTCAGTTAGGCTCCATGTGCCTTGTTCCCATCAGATGTTTCGCGTCTCCCACCCAGGGCTCCTGCTGAGCCCTGAAAGAAATATGAAAACCTTCAAGCCAATCTTGACCCGACAGTACATGCAACTGACATGCAGGTTTTTAGGCACACGCACAAAGCCCACTGGAAAGGAGGCCTGGTAATTAATAGGACCACGCACGCGCTGCGATGGAATTTAACCCTTTCTCTGCCTGCCGTGGTTTCTCTTCATCTTCTAGGTCCATTAGCAGCTTTGTTCTCCTCCCAGAATTCTACAGCATCCCTCTGGGACCCTGATCTGCAGAAATGAACTAAATACTTCAAAAGGCTTCAGTACTTCCCTGTTTTTCTTTGACTGCAGCATCGGCATTTCTGCTGCCTATTTACAGCTTTCTTGTGCCTGAGATCTCGTCCACTAGAACCCCTAAATCCTTCAAATCTGCTTAGACATGCTCTAAAACTCTCGTTTTCATTGCCAGAAGACCTTATCGCTTCCCCATTATTCTCAGCACAGCTTTGCCACGGTTCTCTTTGTAACAGGACCCTTCACTCAGGAGTATGAAACCTCAACCCACGACCCAAATCCAGCCCTCCTAGAGTTCCAATATGGCCCCCAGCCCTGGCCTCCCCCCCCCCTCAATTGCTGAGCATTCTTGCATGTGTGTTTTGCTTCGCCATAGTTACTGGCATCAAGAAACAATATGCTGCCATTTTTGGCCCACCCCTTTTACCGTCAGCCCCACTGTCACTAGGGCAGGGCTCTCCGAGGGCTTCTTTGAAATGGAATTTGGCCCTCGGGCCGAAAATGGTTCAAGGCCACTGGTTCAACCAGCCTGCTCAGTTATGAGCTACTCAAGCTTTTGCCACCAACTATTTGGCAGCGTGAGAAGGCCTAGATGCCAAGGATAAAGCTTTGGAGAAGCACAGGAGAGGGGTCAAGTCGCTCTCCCGGTGGCACCAAGGGGTGTCTACAAACCCCCAAGTTCTTTCTTCCATTACAGACAGTCCCAGGAGCACCACCGGAAGCATTCCCCCCCAAAGCCATCCGTCACCCTTTTCATTAGGGCTGCCCTGTCTGTTTCCTTGGAGGGATTTGAGTCCATAGTTGCACTGCAGGCAGAAATTCAATCGGGGCTGCATCACAACCTCCTTCCCAGCAACAGGACACATCACAGGAGTTTCTGCCCCAGGTCACCATTATGTACCGCCAAAGAACAACGCTTGGAGTCCGGTGCAGGACCAGAGGTTCTAAGATGGAAGGCTGGTTATTTACCACTGGAGATCCCAAAGGTTTGGTGGATTAGAAGACTGGAGAGTAGGAAAGCTCAGTCCAGCACTTCTGAAAAGCACCAGGTTGGCTTGGGTATGTTACAGCATTTGCTGCCTACAGTACCTGGTTTGGGTCTTTAACCATGGACAAAGGAGAGGTAACATTCTGCTCCCAGCAGTGACTAACCAAATGCCTTCAAGAAGCAGGTCAGCCAGTGGTGCTCAGAGTCAGAACACCCGCTCTGCATGCAGAAGGCCTGAGGTTCAACTCTCAGCATCTCTTGCCTGCAACTCTGGACTAGGGAAAGGCGCCAGATGTTCTGGTCCTAGAGCAGCAATTCTGGCCTGCTTGCACTGGCTGCCTATAGGCTCCAAGCTGGTTTTAAGCTATAAAGCCCTACAGAGCTTGGGACCACGACACCTGAAAGAACATCCCTCCTGCCCTTCATCCACCCAGACACTGCAATTGAGTTCGGGGGCCTGCCTCTGACCGTCCCCTTTGAGGGAGGCTGGGTTGGGGGCAAGGAGGAGAAGAGCCTTTTCAGTAGTGGCCCCGCAGTTATGCAGTACACTCCCCACTGAGGCACAGCTGGCCCCTACTTTTCAGTAGCGGGTAAAGACTGTACTGCAGGGCATTCAATTAGTCTATTGGGGCTCACTAGTTGCTAAACAGATCTTAAGATGGTTCTTCAGTTTTTTAATCTGTTTTAAATTCAGTATTGTAAGCTTTCGAATGAGGTTTTAATATGCTGTATTTTATATTGCATTTTTACCGTGCTGCTGTAAACCACCTATAGAGTTTTGGCTATTGGGCGGGACAGAAATTAATTCATTAAATAACGCATGGTCTAACCCTGGACAACCCACCACACAATGTAAGAAAAACCTCCATGGTGTTTGCCCAGATCACAGAAAGCTCTAGGATGTTCCATTCACACATGCAGGTCATGTGCTGTTGTATCACACAAGCACAAGTGCCTTCACATTAAGGCCAGACAGGTTCTGATGTGTGTGTTTAGGGTGACAAGTTCCGCTCTTTCCCCCTATTTACACTTGCCATTCGGATGCAAAACTTTGGTCTGTTTTAGGAAGGCCTCAATGGATTTCCAGGTCTGACCCCTACCTGCTCCTTGAAAAATACAATGGAACATCTTCAAATTAAAGTGGGCCCAGAGCTCCCAGGAAGGCAGAGAGGAGCAGAGAATCTCTCGGCCAACTAAGCCCTTCAAAGCCCTTCATCCCAAAGCTTAAAATGCCGGTATCTCAGCTTCTTCCCTGCTTCTGAGAAGCCCCAGGCCTCCCTCGGTGGACCTTTCACATTCCCTCACCTAGCTTGCAAGGTATCCCATCTTTCAACCACGCACACCTTATTCATTTCAGCAAGAGGGCAGGGGACACCCCTAAACGCAGCGAAAACTTTAGCAGACTTCCTTGCTCCAAATGAAAAAAAGGCGCGGGGCGGCGTGGGGAGACCGTCACAGGTCCAACCAGACTCTCCAAGTGCGGTTTGCACCGAATTTACTCCCCAATCCCAAATGCCCTGCGATGCAACAGCGGAAGCGGCCCCAAAGCTTTCCCGATGGATAACCCCCCCCCCCCCGAAGCCCAGTCAGCTTGCAATAATCGAATCTGGTGAGCTAATCCATCGCATTGGCATCAGCCGAGCTATGAAGGAATTTTAACTCTTCGCACGCCGCAAGGCAGCAATCCGTGGGCCAGGCATCCCCGCGCAGCGCGGCTCCCTCTGCTCTCCTCGCAGGGAGACAGCCCGTTAAAAAAACAGCAGAACACGATCCTGCCCACCAAACCTGTTCGCACTTACCCCGCCTCCCTCCGTACCAACCCCAGCCGGGCACCTCTGCACCGCGCACTGTGCGCCCGGCAGAGACACGGGCTCGCTGCGACGGTCGAGGGAACTTTGCGGCGCTCCGGCCAAGCGACGGCGATCCATCGGGCCGCTCTTAAGAAAAGGGAAGGCCGAAAAGGCGCACGCACGCACGCACCAGCGCACACACACACACACACACATACACGGCAAACCAGGCACCCAGTCTCCGAAGCGCTACCATTTTGATGCAAAGGTCTCCGGTCCTGTGAGCCCCGATGCTCTTCTGCTTGCAGGGGGGTTGCGATCTCCATGAAAATGTTCGGCGGGGGTCGATCCTTCCCCTGTTCCGTCCGGATCTGCTGCGCCCTCCCCGCGGTCCCTCCTGCGCCTCTGCAGCAGCACCTCCGGCTCGGCCGCCGCCGCCGCCGCCGCGGGCCCTGCGCAGCTACGGCCGCCGCCGCCGCGGCTGCTGCTGCTCCGCCGCCCCCCGCCCCCTCGGCTGCGGCGGCACCTCACCCCCCTCCCCAATCGCCATGTTCGCCCCGGAGGAAGAGGCAGGGGAGGAACCGCGGGCGAGGCGGACGCCGTGCCCAGCTGACTGGAGCCGCCGCCGCGCCTGCGCGCCGCCCGC